GGTGAGGTGTTGGAATGTAGAGACCAAGCCCTGTTACCTCACTGCTTGGCGACGTCCACTCAAGAAATCAGTGAGCCATGAGACCAGGTTGGTGGGCAGCCCTAGTGCAATAGCCTTGTTGATAACAGTGCAGTGATCAACAAGGTCAAAGGCCTTCCTGAAGTCTACAAGGGCAACGGCCAGTGATGTCTTACGTTTCTGCAAGTTTTTGTGCAGAAAATCCAGAAAGCTCACCAAGCAGTGTGATGTAGAGGAGGTCCTCATATTGCCAAATTGCTGTGAATCAATTGACTGATAGATACTGGCAAATGCTCACTCAAAAACAAAGTCCTCACAAAGTAGACTGGGTATGGGGGTAATGGCAACTGGCCTGAGGTCGTTAGGGGACTGTGGGGTGGTGACCTTGGGGATGGGGGTGACAAATGCGGTTTTCCATTCATTAGGGCATTTGCTTTGTCTGAGGGATGCATTAATAATAGAACAGAGGGGGGTGGCAAGTTCGACTGCAAACTCCTTGTATATTTTGATTGGGAGATCAATTGGGGTCGTGGAGCGTTTGGATTTAAATTTCAGGAGTTTGTTGGCGATTTCATATGGTTGAACACTGGGAGGGGGGGAGAGGGAAGGTAAGTAAGCTGGGAGGAGAGTGAGGTCAAGACTGGGTAAGGTACACTTGGGTGATCCAATTGTTTTTAAAATATTTATTGAACTTTTCATTTGTATTTTTCTTTATACACTAAGGACACAGTATTCCTGAACGAAGTAAAATCTTTTTTTTTCCGTCCTCCAATATACAAGATTCTTTTATTGTTTTTATTTTATTAGTATCTTTATGAGCAGTTTAAAACCACAAGATTGACCAAATTTGTGATTTTTTTTATTGTACCATCACAGTGAGCCACTCCGGGCCGTGGCTGGCGGCGCAGGCTGGTAGCAGGTTCCCTTGAGGTTGGGAATTAGTGGATAGCGAACAACCCCGGGGTAGAATTTCCATTACTCCCACTAACCCAGCAATTACTACGGCGGGCCAATAAACTATTAGCCTGAACAAGCCGTACAATTTATTAAGGTTATTGGAGGGTTACACACTCCTTAATGGTCGTCTTAAATTGGCTAATTAGCAAGGTCAGTCGAGGTCACGGTTAATGACAGGTATCCCTTGTTTGGGTCATTATACCAGGCTTCTAAATCCACAGTGTGGGAGAGACGAGGTGCGTGTCGCAGTGTAATACAATGCTGCAATAATTTCACAGTAATTTCAGAGTCTCTTGCTAATGTGAAATCGAATACAAAATTATTACTGAGGGAATTCATACGACATTGACTTATGAAAGCAAAATGTTGTACCTGTGCAGGTATATTACGTAAGTCACATTCCAGATACACTGTACAGTGTGTGTGTGTGTGTGTGTGTGTGTGTGTGTGTGTGTGTGTGTGTCATTCAATTTAAACTTTTCATAGACAAATGCGCTCATTTTACAAATAATAATTAAATCAGGAATAATTTTTTTATTAAGTCAGTATGGGTGCCGTCTGTCTGTTTTGTTCATCGATCTGAACGAAATGGATGGTTGTCTCGGCTTCCTCTTCTAAACGATATCAATAAATCAGACTCAACTACATGTGTATATCAACCAGAATTTTCTCTTTGAAACTGTATGAACTTTATGAACATATCAGGATGGGGTAGGAATACCTCGCCCCCGTTGAATTCTTGCGTAAAACTGCTAACTAATCACGTTAACTTGGGTAATACTTCTTGAGCCCTCACAGGTAAACGTTACTAATATGTCAGGTAGCAGTGGGTGTTGTGGTGAGGTATATGAGCCAGAGGTGATAGCAGGTAATCTTCCCAGGTAACGTGACCAGGTCAGGCAGATTCCACGTTCTTGTGGGTATGTCTGATCTTAAGAGTCACGTTACTTGAGGTAGTCTTCACCAGCCTCTCTGATAACTGTAACCGTACCTCACCACACCTTATTGATACCATATAGTATAGCAGTACAATGACTGGGAAAGTATAGTGGTACACTGACTGGGGTACAATGATTTGGATTAATTTAGTGGTACAATAACTGAGGCAGTGTAGTGGTACATTGACTACGATAGTAGAGTGGTACAATAACTATAACAGTATAGTGGTACACTGACTATGACAGCATAATGGTACACTAAATATGACAGTATAGTGGTACACTAAGAACATAAGAATGGAGGAAAGTGCAGCGGGCCTATTGGCCCATACTGGACAGTCCCATTTACACCCAACCCCTATTGCTCATATATCCATCCAACCTATGGCAGTAAAATGGTCCACTGACTATGGCAGTATAGTGGTACATTGACTATGACAGTTTAGTGGTACACTGACTATGACAGTATAGTGGTTCAATAATTACAAGAGTGTAGCGGTACACTGACTATGGCAGTGTAGTGGTACACTGACTATGAGAGTATAGTGGTACACTGACTATGAGATTATAGTGGTACACTGGCTTTGACAGCATAATGGTACACTGACCATGACAGCATAGTGGTACACTGACCATGACAGCATAGTGGTACACTGACTATGACAGTGTAGTGGTACACTGACTATGACAGCATAGTGGTACACTGACCATGACAGCATAGTGGTACACTGACTATGACAGTGTAGTGGTACACTGACTATGACAGTATAGTGGTGCACTGACTATGAGAGTATAGTGGTACACTGACTTTGACAGCATAGTGGTACACTGACCATGACAGCATAGTGGTACACTGACTATGACAGTGTAGTGGTACACTGACTATGACAGTACACTGACTATGAGAGTATAGTGGTACACTGACTTTGACAGCATAGTGGTACACTGACCATGACAGCATAGTGGTACACTGACTATGACAGTGTAGTGGTACACTGACTATGACAGTATAGTGGTGCACTGACTATGACAGTGTAGTGGTACACTGACTATGACAGTGTAGTGGTACACTGACTATGACAGTATAGTGGTGCACTGACTATGACAGTGTAGTGGTACACTGACTATGACAGTATAGTGGTGCACTGACTATGACAGCATAGTGGTACACTGACTTTGACAGCATAATGGTACACTGACTATGACAGTTGAGTGGTACACTGACTATGAGAGTATAGTGGTACACTGACTTTGACAGCATAGTGGTACACTGACTATGACAGCATAGTGGTGCACTGACTATGAGAGTATAGTGGTACACTGACTTTGACAGCATAGTGGTACACTGACTATGACAGTATAGTGGTGCACTGACTATGAGAGTTTAGTGGTACACTGACGATGACAGTGTAGTGGTACACTGACTACGACAGTGTAGTGGTACACTGACTATGACAGCATAGTGGTACACTGACTATGACAGGTTAGTGGTACATTGACTACGACAGTATAGTGGTAAACTGATTATGGCAGTTTAGTAGTACATTGACTACTACAGTATAGTGATAGTGGTGGGGTAGTATAGTAGTACAGATACAGTGATGGAGTAATATAGGTATAGGCAGACAAGCTGATAGGGTACAGAGTTGTAGTGGTGTTTGGTGGTGTATTTGGGTCATGTACCATGGACCAGTTAATCCGATTATTCAGTTAGTGAAAGGAACGTGTGTCAATTACCGCTTTCATTAATAGTTTCCCTTTGTGGTGAAAGTCGAGAAGGATAACTAAACTAGTGAGAAGTGTAAGGGAAGAAAGCATATCTATGTGAAGAGGGACTGTAGAAAACATCAGAAAACAGATTGCATAGAGCCATAGACCCAGAACGGAATTAGAGAATGGATAACAGTGTAGATAATTTCTGAATAAAAAGTGGACGAGAAAACCAGAAATTAGAAAGTATAGAAGAAAGCCAGGGAACAGAAAGAGAAAGAGAATATCAAAACAAAATGGCAAATAAAAATTATACAGCAGAAAACATCCGGCACACACACTAAATGAAAAGAAGAAATTACTCTTTAGAAAAGACAGAGATATACATGTAACACACAAAAACCGGGGAACAAAAGACAACAGAACAATAACGCTTATAAGGTCTCTTAAGTCCTGTTGTTTGTAAATTTACCGAGGCGCTACTTAACCAAGCACATTCCCAGCTCCTCCGTTGTCCTCTCGGCCAAAAATGTATGTTTTATGAACTCATGGGTCGTTACAGTCCTTAAGGGTCATTTCTGGCCTTTGACTAGGATTATAGTTTTTCATGACCTGAAAAGATGATGTAAATTACGCTTCCAAAAAGTGGATAGTAAATTTGACGAAGTGAAAATGAGATGAAACTCGACAAGTCGTGCCCTTTGCTGTGAAATGCTTTGTTGTTCTTTATTGTTCCAAAACTCAGGCCTCAGTGTGACCTGCCTCAACTCTGTATTGTTTCGTGTTTATTTTCCCCAGGTAACTCATTACATACGATAAGATAACCCCGTAAATATTTGTTGATTGTTTTACGTGGGACACGATTACAGGCCATTTTTTTTATTCGTCTACATAAAATAGAATTCTTCGCAATGATCAGAGTTTATTCCTGTTGATTTAAAGTTTCCTGTTTATTGCACGTCCTAAAATAGAATAATCATTAAGGTTATCGAATAAAAAAAAAATCCCTGTATAATGGAAGAAAAATGCAATTTAGACCCCAAGCCCAGAGTGAGTGTGATGTCTTCCGGTCCTGACGTGTGTCATCCTCAGTCATATAGGAGTCGTGTTGACGTGGCACGCGTCTCAACCAAATAATGACACACACACGCACACACACACACACACACGTACACACACATACACACACACACACACACACACACACACACACACACACACACATACTTGAACACACACACACACTCCCCGCTTCCACCATATGTAACCTATCACCTCAGTTCATTGCATATTTTCAGCCCTTCGGGCTGCCATGTTATTTTAATAAACCGTTAATTATTATTATTATTATTGTTATTTTTACGTCTCACTACACCTATGACCCTTCCCAGTTCTCGCCTTCACACACCTCGCCTCCACATTCCTCGCCTCACCATCTTAGGCTTTTCCTCGTCGACGACGTCCCTTTACACCCCACGCCCTCCACGATCCTTACACCCCACGCCCTCCACGTCCCTTTTCTACGCCCTCCACGTCCTTTACATCCCACGCCCCTTTACACCCCACGCCCTCCACGTCCCTTTACACCCCACGCCCTCATACGCCCCTTTACAACCCACTTCCTCCACGTCCCTTTACATCCCACGCCCTCTACGTCCCTTTACATCCCACGCCCTCCACACCCCTTTACACCGCACTCTCCACGTCCCTTTACATCTCACGCCCTCCACACCCCTTACATCCCACGCCCTCCACACCCTTTTACATCCCACGCCCTTACATCCCACGCCCTTCACGCCCCTTTACATCCCACGCCCTCCAAACCCCTTTACACCCACGCCCTTTACGTCCCTTTACACTCCACGCCCTTTACATCCCACGCCCCTTTACATCCCACGCCCTCCACGTCCCTTTTACATCCCACGCCCTCCACGCCCTTTACATCCCACGTTCCTTATATCCCACGCCCTCCACACCTTTACATCCCACGCCCTCCACACCCTTTACATCCCACGCCCCTTTACATGCCACGCCCTTTCACGCCCCTTTACATCCCACGCCCTCCACACCCCTTTACACCCCACGCCCTCCACGTCGCTTTACACCCCACGCCCTCCACACCCCTTTATATCCCACGCCCTCCACGTCTCTTTTGCACTCCACGCCATTTTACATCCCACGCCCTCCACACCCTTTACATCCCACCCTTTACATCCCACGCCCATCCCACGCCCTCCACGTCGCTTTACACCCCACGCCCTCCACACCCCTTTATATCCCACGCCCTCCACGTCTTTGCACTCCACGCCGTTTACATCCCACGCCCTCCACACCCCTTTTCATCCCACGCCCTCTACGCCATTTTACATCCCATGCCCCTTTACATCCCACGCCCTTACGTCCCTTTACATCCCACGCCTCCACACCCCATTTACCCCACGTCCTCCACGTCGCTTTACACCCCATGCCCTCCACACCCCTTTATATCCCACGCCCTCCACGTCTCTTTGCACCCACGCCCTTACATCCCACGCCCCTTTACACCCCACGCCCTCCACGCCCCTTACATCCCACGCCCTCCACGTCCCTTTACATCCCACGTCCTCCGCGCCCTTACATCCTACGCCCTCCACGTCCCTTTACACCCCACGCCCTCCACGCCCCTTTACATCCCACACCCTCCACGTCCCTTTACACCCCACGCCCTCCACACCCCTTTACATCCCACGCCCTCCACGCCCCTTTACATCCTACGCCTCCACGTCCCTTTACACCCCACGCCCTCCACACCCCTTTACACCCCTCCCCACATCCCTTACATCTGACGCCCTCCACACCCCTTTACATCCCACGCCCTCCACGCCCTTTACATCCCACGCCCTCCACGCCCCTTTACATCACACGCCCTCCACACCCCTTACACCCACGCCCTTTACGTCCCTTTACACTCCACGCCCTTTCACATCCCACGCCCCCCCACATCCCACGCCCTCCACGCCCCTTTACATCGCACGCACTCCACACCCTTTACACCCACGCCCTTACGTCCCTTTACACTCCACGCCCTTGCATCCCACGCCCTTTACATCCCACGCCCGCCACGCCCTTTACATCCCACGTTCCTTTACATCCCACGCCCTCCACATCCCTTTACATCCCACGCCCTCCACGCCATTTTGCATCCCACACCCCTTTTCATCCCACGCCCTCCACGCTCTTACATCCCACGCCCCTTTACATCCCACGCCCCTTACATCCCACGCCCTTTCACGCCCTTTACATCCCACGCCCTCCACACTTTATGTCCCACGCCCTCCACGTCTCTTTGCACTCCACGCCTTTTACATCCCACGCCCTTCACACCCCTTTGCATCCCACGCCCTCCACGCCCTTTTACATCCCACGCCCCTTTCCATCCCACGCCCTTCACGCCCCTTTATATCCCACGCCCTTCACGCCCCTTTACACCCGTGCCCTCCACGTCCCTTTACACTACGCCCTCCAGGTCCCTTTATACCCCACGCCCTCCACACCCCTTTACATCCCATGCCCTCCACGCCCCTTTACATCCTACGCCCTCCACGTCCCTTTACACCCCACGCCTTCCACGTCCCTTTACACCCCACGCCCTCCACACATCAGGCCTCCACGGCCCACGCCTCTCCACACCCCGCGCTCCAGCACACAGCAGGGGCACTGTAGCTCACTGGCGAGGGTACTCGACTCACTCAGGAGACTACACAAGCGAGTGAGTCACAGGAGGAGAGGCAAGGGGTCGGGTGGGGGTCATACTTGGAACAGGGCTTTGAGGGCATCAAGGATCGCCTGTTTGTTTAGACGCGTCTTCCTTGCTCAGCCTTGTTGATAAGTTCCCCCGAGCGGCTTACCCCCCCACCTCCCTCCCCTGCATACCGCTCTACGCTTGAATTATTCCATGAAAATTTTACTGTTTGGTTTCATGGCCATGGTTATTCCTGCCGCCTAAGGTTAATCAAGGTTTGTTTGTGTGTGTTATTATTATTATACATCCTTTTCACTCAGAGACGACCTCGGGCTAAGACAGAACTTTTATTACGTGTTTGTATGAGAGAGTGGCCACGCTCGTAAATTAGAATTGTAGATGTGTTGAGTTAAGATGGGTTTTACTACATGTTGTCGGTAATAAGAGTCCTTCAACTCGACACTCTCCAGTGTTAGTGAGACGCTGAATGTATTTGTATGTCATAAATCACTCGCCTCTTCAGAGTTTGGATTAGTTGTGTTCAGCTGCTGATTATTTTCACTCCCCCTTAACCTGGGGTGTCTGGGATCACAGGAGGCCAACACTTACATGTTTCCTCCGTGTCCGTTGTTTGTCAGAATAACAAGGGGTTGTTGTGCCTCTCCGCGTCCCCCTCACATTACCGACTACCGTTAGTCTGGCACCTTTTCTTAGTGTTACACACAACACACACACACACACACACACACTGGCGAGCCTCTTGGTTGTTTTATAGTTTGTTTCAAAACATTGTAATTAATAATATGTTCATACAATCAGCTCGAGTCATAGTAGTTAGTGGGGCCGGGTGGAGGAGGGGCCAGTTACTTTCATTATTCCGCGAAATTGAATCTTTCGGATTGCGAAATACAGCGACTGCTGTAATAATAACAGAAGTGAAAAGAAATCTAGAAATAGAGTATCTGTGTTTACACTTCTATTTACACCTGTGTCCAATTTTTCTGAATTAATAAAATGAAATACGACGCTTTGAAATCGAAATTAATTTGTGAACCATGTCTCTATGATTTTATTGGAAATGAAGCAATATAGTTGTATAAGCCAAGAGCAGCCCTGGAAAGGTGATACGAAGTCGAGAGGTATCATAAGAATAAATAATACTCCAGCTACAGACTACCTAAAGAAAATGGAGGTGGGGTGATGTTCTGTGACTCTCATAGTGCTTTGAAGTCAATGAACAGCCCGTCAGGTTCTATGTCTAAAGTTGTTTGTGATATTAAAAGAAATGTGATAACTGCCAATGAGAACAACTCTCGTATCGAATTTGTGTGGATTCCGTCCCATGTTGGAATTAGGTATCATGACCGTGCTGATAGACTGGCCAATGAGGCATGTAAGAAAGAAAATGTTGACCGTGACCTTGGCCTGTCCAATGCTGTACTTAAAAACATTCAAGTCAGAATCATGAACTCTGATCTAGAAGAACTGAGAAATGCAGAGACCTGGCAGTTGTAGCATTAGTATATGTGACAAATTTTGTGACGAGAGGTACCGGTATGGCCAGCATAAGGACAGAACCAGACAATGTGATGTAGTCATGGCCAGAATTAGGCTAGGATACAGACACATCTGGCAAGTTAGTAACGCTCTACCCATACCGGAACACTCAGCCTGTAAACTTTGTGATAAACCTTTAAAGCATACACTTGAACACTATATTATTGAATGTGACTGTCAAAGACTTCAGGCCACCTGGCTTATTGTATCATGAAGTTTGTATTACTACATTGAATCGGGGGTGCTTGAGGACATTCTTGCTGTTTATCCCAAATTTGCTAGCCCACACTGATTAATCTTCAATTAGAATATTACGTCCAATGTATACGAACCACTGTCCTGCATGGCAGCGAACAGTGACATCACCCACATGACTCTGACCTAGATATACTGCTAATGAATATGATGTATTTCTTTGTGTACGAACCTCTATCCTGTATGGCAGTGAACAGTGACACCACCCACATGAATCTGACCTATATATACTGTTAATGAATATGATGTATTTCTTTGTGTATGAACCTCCGTCTTGCGTGGCAGTGAGAAGTGATACCACCCTCAGTGTCGAGACCTGACTGAATTACTCAGAATAGGCAAACTGTACTCCAAGGTTTGTCAATAAATTTGTTAAACTAAAAAAAGTCTCCCAGCAGGATTCGACCCACGTCCCTCAGGTGGCAAGCGAGAGGAGGCCACCACATAAATGAACTTTAGCCGTATGTGTACAGTTGGTGACGCCTTCTTTTGCCATTTGAGCGGGTGTGGATTCAGGTTCTGTAGAAGTGATTGTGTTGTGTCATTTGTACATTACACTCTCGTCATTGCTGTGTGTGGGAAGGGTGGGTGGATGGGTGTGGGGGAGGGAGAGACAGTATTGTAAGGATGATACTCCTTAACGCACTGATGAATCTTACAGGAAATACCACTTGAAGACAAATAAAAAGGTTCTTACAGGACGACGAGTCTCAATAAGAACTCCTTGTCAGTGATCGCCCGACCTGTCTTCGGATATATGTATCTCGAGATTTCTTTTCTTATAATGGCGATGTAAACTTTACCCCATTATACTTGGATACTCCTCTTTAACCCTTTTGAACTCTGGAGCCTTTTTAAATGAGTGGAATAATACTTACAGAAAGGGAGGCAGTGTGAGTATCTTCTTGATCGTATTGTGCTTGTGTGATTGCATGCATACATGTCTCTGTGTTAAAACCTGCTTTTCTGAAAAATGGAAGGTGTTTCTGCGTATGTTGTTTGCAGTATTTCTAAGAACACTCACATTTGTGTAGAACCATTCTGTATATTCTTGTACTGTATCAGTAATTAACGCATGTCTTTGTGTGTGCAGTATGTGTAAAAAATTTACGTTTAATGTTCCACTTATGATGTTTTCGTGTCCTTCATCTATATACAATGATATATAAAATTAATTCTATCAATTTGTAAAAAACCTGGAGAATATGCAATGCCCCTTACCGCTCTAACCTTACAGAATAGAGAGGAACAAAGTCTCAGGGAAACTTCTTTCCCACCGTAGAATACATTCAGTGAAACTTGTGTCTCACCATACAATACCTCCAGTGAAACTTCTCTCCCATCATACAGTAATTTCAGAGAAACTTGTCCCTCACCATACAATTCCTTCAGTGAAACATCTCTCCCACCATACAATACCTTCAGTGAAATATATTTCCCACCATACAATACCTTCAGTGAAACTTGTCTCCCACCCTACAATGCCTACAGTGAAACTTCTCTCCCACCATACAATACCTTCAAAGAAACTTCTCTCCTACCGTACAATACCTTCAGTGAAACTTCTCTCCCACCATACAATACCTTCAGTGAAACTTCTCTCCCACCATACAATACCTTCAGTGAAACTTCTCTCCCACCATACAATACCATCAGTGGAACTTCTCTCCCACCATATAATATCTTCAGTCAAACTTCTCTCCCACCATACAATACCATCAGTCAAACTTCTCTCCCACCATATAATATCCTCAATGAAGCGAGTTACATTAAGTCAACATGTCTTAGGCTGATCCACCGTGCACGTTATCTCCCGTAGCACCCGGCTTTCTTCCCACCCAGGTGTCTTCAAGTATAACAAGGTATGAGGCAATATTTTATTTAATCAATGTTATCTCTCCCACAACCCAGTGATCCTCTGTCCCTGTAAGATTTCTTGTCTCTTCTTGGAATCTACAGAATGGAAATACGAACAACATAAGTGTAAGAGAAGATACGAGAACGTAGATTTAAAGTAAAAATAGGAATATTGGTGATTTTTTTTTTATTTACGTATTTTAAGTAGATGCTTCACGTGTTTGATAAATAACGGGAATATTTATCCGACAAATGACTGAAGCGAGGTGTTATACTATGTACTGTATGCTATAACCAAAATACTACAGAATTATTTGGTAGAGGCTAGGTTAGGATTCATCAAATGATATGTTAAAGGTAACGTGATTATTCTAGAGGGAGGACGTGCACTGTAGGATTCGATTACCGTTTTTGTTCTAGAAGTTTTTTTTATACTGAATTTCTTTAAATCAGGAGAGTAAGTCTTGGACTTACTTCATTAGTAGACAATCGTGAGAGAAAGACAGCAATTGGAGAGAGAGAGAGAGAGAGAGAGAGAGAGAGAGAGAGGTAATAAAAGTAGTTTTTGTTATTATATTCTGTTTTGTTCAGGAGTCTGGCAGATGGCAGATACGACCTGTGTTAGTCCGACCCATGATGGTAGAGGGCAGGCGGCGGGCACTAGGTAGCGTGCTATTTGTGTAGACACTTGAACTGACTCTTACCCGTGTGCAAGTGGGAGAGGATCAACTTACTGCCCCCTAATACTGGCTGTCTCACTGTATCCCCTCTGACCCCAACACTACCCCTTTTGTTATACAGTAAGTATCCCTGGTCTTGCCCCAGGTAAATGTTGTGATTAATATATATATATATATATATATATATATATATATATATATATATATATATATATATATATATATATATATATATATATATATATATATATATATATACCGGTACCCTCGTGGTGTACATGTGAGGCGGTGACGCATGGGACAAATTAGCAGCACTAGGAAGTGTCACATTTTCCCCTCACTGGTAATAGTCCTGAGCTAGTCTGAACCTCCTGGTGCGATCAACCGCTTTAAGCATGTAAATTTGTAGCCGTGTCTTGTAATTTGCTTCCCAAGGAATTGCAGATGGACGAAAGTGAGAGCAATTTACAAGAGTCTAAACTTAAATTATCAACTACTCCCCCACACCATCATTAAAGGGTCCGTGTAAGTTTCTGAAAAGTTTGTACCTCGCTGGATGAAAATTAATCCCGCATCTGAGTTACAAGTTTAAATGGGGGTCATTCCGACAAATTGACGACGTCTCTGAAAGA